CCACCAGGCAGAATCACCCAGTCCGACCCGGATTCGCTCCTTCGGCCGAAATTCCCCACCCCCACCATCCCCAGTGTCTGCGCCTCCGCTGGCCTTCGGCAATTTCCGCCGAGAAACCCAGCGCTCGGAGAACCGAAGACCAGCCGCCTCCTTTCTCCGCCAGACCCGGCTTTATGTCTGCGGCGCCGGGGCGCATGCGCAGACGCCATCTTCCCTCTTTCCCCTCCGCCTGTCCCCTCCCCCCGCCAGCGCCGCCGCCGCCTCCTCTCGCCGGCGGTCGCCCCTCCTCCTCCTGCGCTCGGGCGCTGGTCCCTCCTCTCCCGATGCCGCGAAAGACTGGGGGATACGGTGGGGCCGGGGGAGCCGGAGGAGAGCACTAGTAACAACCACCACAGCCCCCTCCCCTCCTGCCACCCTCCCTCGGCACCCACCCACTCCCCCGCCCCGTTTGCCGACACCGACCAACCCCACCTCTCGTTCCTTTGAACGACGTCGGCTGCAGTCGCTGCACCAGCCCGTCTGGCCACCAACGCCGCCGAGAAAGGAGCCGCCGTGCAGCGGCCGCTGCCGCGGCAGGAGGAGGGGGCTGAGGTGGCTTCGGAGTTGGCCGGAGAAGGTGGGCATTTCTCGCTTTTCCTCCCCCTCCCCTGCTCCCTCCCCTCCCCGGCTCTACCCCCTCCCTCCTGCCCCGCACCCCACGTGAAGCGCAATATAAAGGGGGTGTGAGACTAGAGGGGAAAGTGAATGGCGAAGGACTGAAGGGGTCCCCCCTTCGGGTCTCCGGCCGCTCTGTTCACCCTCGTTCATCCTCCCTTCCCGAAGCTCGCCCTCGGAGGCAGGAGCGGCCGGCGCTTTCGGCTGAGGAGGAGGAGGAGGAATCGCGCCGGGCGGAGCGTCAGGTCCCGTTTTCCTCTCCGGCGTCTCGAATACAAAGATTACGGTGCAGAAGGAAATTGTACTCGCCTCCTCCGCCCCCCCGGTACCCAACACAATGCACCAGCCGCCCGAGTCCACCGCCGCCGCGGCTGCCGCCGCTGCAGACATTAGTGCTAGGAAGATGGCGCACCCGGCAATGTTCCCTCGAAGGGGCAGCGGTAGTGGCAGCGCCTCTGCTCTCAGTGCAGCAGGTACCGGCGTTGGTAGTAATGCCACATCTTCCGAGGATTTTCCGCCTCCGTCGCTGCTCCAGCCGCCGCCTCCTGCAGCATCTTCTACGTCCGGACCACAGCCTCCGCCTCCACAAAGCCTGAACCTCCTTTCGCAGGCTCAGCTGCAGGCACAACCTCTTGCGCCAGGCGGAACTCAAATGAAAAAGAAAAGTGGCTTCCAGATAACTAGCGTTACTCCGGCTCAGATCTCTGCCAGTATCAGCTCTAACAACAGCATAGCAGAGGACACTGAGAGCTATGACGATCTGGATGAGTCTCACACGGAAGATCTCTCTTCTTCCGAGATCCTTGATGTGTCACTTTCCAGGGCTACTGACTTAGGGGAGCCTGAACGCAGCTCCTCAGAAGAGACTCTAAATAACTTCCAGGAAGCCGAGACACCTGGGGCAGTCTCGCCCAACCAGCCCCATCTTCCTCAGCCTCATTTGCCTCACCTTCCACAACAGAATGTTGTGATCAATGGGAATGCTCATCCACATCACCTCCATCACCACCATCACATACATCACGGGCACCACCTCCACCATGGGCACCACCATCCATCCCACACTGCTGTGGCCAGTGCGTCCAGTCCTGGAGGGCCACCCTCAAGCCCTGTATCCAGAAAACTGTCTACAACTGGAAGCTCTGACAGTGTTATACCAGTTGCACCAACTTCTGCTGTATCATCGAGTGGCTCACCTGCATCTGTAGTAGCTAATATCCGTGCTCCGAGTACTACAGGCGGTATAGGTATAAATTCTGTTACTGGCACTAATGCAGTGAATAATGTTAACATTACTGCTGTGCGTAGTTTTGATCCTAATGTGACAAGCAGCATGGTTGGTAATGCTAATATAAGTACCAGCAGTATTCCTAGTGCTGCTAGTGTGAATGTTGGGCCTGCAGTTACCAGTGGTGTTAATGTGAACATCTTGAGTGGCATGGGCAATGGTACTGTTTCTTCCTCTGCTGTCCCTAATGCAAGTGCAGGGATGACTGTGGGTTCAAGTCAGCAGCAACAACCAACAGTTAACACATCAAGGTTCAGAGTTGTTAAGTTAGATTCTAGTTCTGAACCCTTTAAGAAAGGTAGATGGACTTGCACTGAGTTCTATGAAAAAGAAAATGCTGTACCCGCTACAGAAGGCGTGGTAATAAGTAAAGTGGTGGAGACTGTAAAACAAAACCCCATAGAAGCGACTTCTGAGAGAGAGAGCACTAGTGGGAGTTCGGTGAGCAGTAGTGTCAGCACACTGAGTCACTACACAGAGAGTGTGGGAAGTGGAGAGATGGGAGCCTCTACTGTGGTGGTGCAGCAGCAGCAGCAGCAACCAGCTCTTCAAGGTGTGGCCCTCCAACAGATGGATTTCAGTAGCACTGGTTCACAGAATATTTCAGCAGTTAGTATACCACAGAGTATTTCTCAGTCACAGATCGCACAAGTACAATTACAGTCTCAAGAACTGAACTATCAGCAAAAGCCAGGTCTTCAACCAGTACCTCTACAAGCCACTATCAATGCTGCAACTGGTATCCAGCCATCACCTATAAATGTGGTTGGTGTGACTTCAGCTTTAGGTCAGCAGCCTTCCACTTCCAGTTTGGCTCAACCCCAACTGCCATATTCTCAGAAGGCTCCTCCAGTGCAAACTCCTATTCCAGGGGCACCACCCCAACAGTTACAGTATGGACAGCAGCAACCAATGGTTTCTACACAGATGGCACCAGGCCATGGTAAACCAGTGACTCAGAATCTTACTTCAGAGTATGTACAACAGCAGCCGATTCTTCAAACAGCAGTGTCCTCCGGACAGCCCAGTTCTGCTGGAGTGGGAGCGGTAACAACGGTGATTTCCGTGGCTCAGCCACAGCGTATCCAGCTGCCAGTGCAACCCACAGCAGTCCAAGCACAACCTGCAGGGGCAACTGGCCAGCCAGTTGGCCAGGCTCATACAGCAGTGTCTGCTGTACCTACTGGCAGTCAAATTGCAAATATTGGTCAACAAACAAACATACCTACTGCAGTGCAGCAGCCCTGTACTCAAGTTACACCTTCAGTTATTCAGCAAGGTGCTCCTCCATCTTCACAAGTAGTTCCACCTGCTCAAACTGGGATTATTCATCAGGGAGTTCAAACTAGCGCTTCAAACCTTCCTCAACAATTGGTTATTGCACCCCAAAGTACCTTGTTAACAGTGCCTCCCCAGCCACAAGGAGTAGAACCAGTAGCTCAAGGCGTTGTTTCGCAGCAGCAGTTGCCCACAGTTAGTCCTTTGCCCTCTGCTGGTAGTATTTCTGTTACAAATCAGGTTAGTTCAGCTGGTCCTCCTGGAACGCCTTCTGCCCCAACAAACTTGGTTCCACCACAGAATATAGCACAAACCCCTGCTACCCAAAACGGGAATTTGGTTCAAAGTGTTAGTCAACCTCCCCTGATAGCAACTAATATAAATTTGCCTTTGGCACAACAGATACCACTAAGTTCTACCCAGTTTTCTGCACAATCATTAGCTCAGGCAATTGGAAGCCAAATTGAAGATGCCAGGCGCCCAGCGGAACCCTCCTTAGTTGGCTTACCTCAGACTATTGGTGTTGACAGTGGGGGAACGTCAGCAGTTTCAGATGGGAGTAGCAGCAGCCTAGCAGCCTCTGCTTCTCTTTTCCCGTTGAAGGTGCTACCGCTGACGACACCCCTGGTGGATGGCGAGGATGAGAGGTAAGGTCATGCCATGTTTCTGCAGACATTCAACAGATTCGAAGTTAATCTCTTTAGTAGGTATATATGTGCACAGAATTAGTCTAAAGTGTTATGTATTCATTTTTTATGTGAAAATGCATTTTCATGGTAAGTTTTCTAAAACGAGTTGGAGGGGATAGGAAGTAGTATAAGTAATATGTCAACAGTACTTGTCAGAACAGCTTTTGAGCATATGTTCACATTAAACATAGGTTTGGGAGCATCAAGTGCTTTTTACTATGAAGTACTTTTTAGAAAGATTAATTATGAAAAGAAGATTAATTTTTGCTAACTACGTGATAATCTATTCTTCTGAGTGTCCTAAATCCTTACGATCATCTCTTGGGTTGGGGTGGGGGGAGGTTGTAGTTCCTACATTTGTTCTCCTTTAATAGACAGTCCTTTTTCAGTTCTACTGTGTTTGATCTTAGTCTGTGAAAGACACTGTTACCTGCTTTTCCTAGCCAGACACTGTAGGAAAGATGACTGAATCTGGGTTATGTTGGTTGCCCTCATCATACTGTAATTGACCAACAGAAAAGTACTTATTTAATGGTCATTTTATCTGAACAGTCAAGGAATGGGAATCTTAAAAAGTGTTTGTGGGGGAGGAGGACATACAGTGTCATAAAAAACCAGATTTATCTTTGATAGTAGTAGCTGTACACTTTTTTCTTTTGCATAGTAGATCAAGGTGGTAGCCATTTTAAAGAGTAAAGGAGGTCTTAGAGGGTTGAATTTATAGAGGCATGAACATAAGACCTCGTTTTCCTGCTAATCTACTCCACCTGTTCTTTTCTTTCCTTACCAAAAAAATATGTAAAGCCTAAAATACGTTATTAAACCGGAGTTTTCTGAATTAGATTGGAAATAATGTGGTAATCATGCTTATTAAATCAAGTTGTCTTCTAAGCTGACTGGCTAGAAAAGTTGCGAAATCTTTCATGTTTCTAAATTGTCTTAAAACCTAGTTGATTTTTAAAGGAATGTTCTTTCCACCAATTTGCCAGTCTGTAACTAACCTTGATCAAAATAATATCACAGGAATTATGAAAAGATTATCCATTTTAAATGGGGAATTTTGAGTAAGCGTCCAAGATATTTAATTATTTTAGTATTAGTTGGAGATTTTTGTGATTGAACTTTCATCAAATTAATTGAAGCATTTTTATATGCATATTTGTGGGTGTCACTTTGGGAAAGCTAAGCATATGGCAAAGGAATTGTAATTTTAGAAAAAGAAAAGAAAGGCCAAACATTTTAGTGAGGTTTTCATGACTTTTTTAATTAAAAGGTAAAGGCATGGTTAATTGTCTTTCAAGATTTTTATTACTTTCCTAGTAGTAATATAATTAAAATTTTGTTACCTACCAAAATGTATTCTGTATCATGTATATACAAAACTATACTTTAAGATAGACTTCTTCTTGTATATAATTTCCTTAATAGTCTCATTATAATCATTGTTAAGCCTTTAATTTTATCATTATCATGCTAATACTCATCTGTAATTTTAGCTTAAAGAATTATTCACCCCAAATATTAATATTTTCTAAATCAAAAGGTTGTGATCTGAGTGAAGCCCTGATAAAAACAGGTATATCTTATGGATGCCAGATTTAGAGAAATAAAAGACCTGCGGTGAAATACTCAAATGAAAACCACAATTTTGAATTCAAACCTGGCATGATTTTATTACCATTTGTGGTCTCCCGGTACGACTTTCTCCTTTCTTTTCTTCTGTTGATAGGGCATAATGGGGCTTTCTACAACTTGCTGTTCAGACAATTAAAGTCAGATGAGCTACTTACAACTAGGTTTTTAACTGTAAGGATAGAATCCAGGTTTAAGATATTAGTATAGGATTAATTTTTCCAGATAACAACCAAGATAAAGATTAATGAGGGGCAAATTATGTAGAAAGGCTTGGAATTCTAGAAAGGGACAAGAAGAGATACTGAGAACTATGATGAAATATTGGTCTAAAGTAACTTAGGTTGTCTTCAGACTGTACCTGTTCTGAATTTACCACGTATTTGAGCCTTTGTTAGTTAACATCAACATTAAGTCATCAAAACTGGAAAATTTTTGTTTCAAAGGTATCCTTCAAATTCTATAAAATCAAAATGTTTCACCCCTAAAATACCGTGTGTGTGTGTGTGTGTGTGTGTGTGTGTGTGTGTGTGTAGGTTATCTTCTTTATTGTGTTTTACTGCATATTATTTCTTTTATCAGTATAGTTTGGAAATATAAATGTTGTATTTAAATTTGCCCTTGGAAGAGAATTGGAGAATAACTACAAGAGAAAAATGTATGATTATTTAAAAAAAATTCTTTCTTTCTTACCATGTTAACTTCTGTGTCACTTGCATCTACTGGGCTTGGTCACCATTAGTCTCATGGAAGTGAGGGGTACATTATGATTTCAATATTATGACTCAGGAAATAGGTTAACAGTATAACTTTTTGGTGGTAGCACAAACAAGGGTGGTATTCTCTTTTTTTTGAAGAGTGAGCAAAAAGAGAAGGGTGGTTATTTGATCATCTTTTGAAATAATTATCTAAGACTTTAGGTTTAAAATGTTTATTAGACACGTGGAAAATGGTTTCAGTTGGCCACTGGGAGAGTCCATAAAGATTAGAAACGTGGATCAAGGCATTAGATTATGTATCTTGCTTTTCAGAAATCATTCTTATTAGAAAGGTCTTAATGTCTTATCCTTTAACATGGACTTACTTTTACAAAAATGGGAAGATATAGATAGGTATTGCAAACTGAAATAGTCTTTTTTGTTTCGTGATTGTTTGTACAGCCTCTTACGTGACATTGGTCAAACTTCTATTCATCCTTCAAGGCTCAGCTTAGATGTTCCCTCTGAAGCATTCTCTTTGCCTAGGGAATATTGTTTCCTTAGCACTTTTTAATGTTCTTCTATTTAAGCACTGTATGCATTCAATTATAATTATGTTTACTGATTTTTCCCATAAGACTAGGAGTCCTCAAGGTCTGGGACTAAATATTTTTTGAACGAATTAATGAGCAGACCTTTCTCTGCTTTTTCTATTATGATTTAAAGTTTGTATTATCTCCATTTTAAGCACAACTTGTTAGAGATGTTGGAGAGGATCATATAATTTATGCAACAAATTGAAAAATGAATAAAAAGACTTGCTTTTTGTGCCTGTCCTTGTTGTTCCTTGAGGTGAATTGATGTCTGTATTCTAAGTACAGTGCCTGTTTCATAGTAATACCTCAAATATTTATTAAAGAGGAATGAATGTTTTCTTACCTATAAAATAGGAGTAATACTCACTTTGCCTACTTCTGAGAACGGTACCATCAGTTAAAAATAACTTTGTTAGCTGTAAAATACCAAATTATAACTTTGTAAATTTTTATTTTTTGTTTAAGGCGTACATGGGCAGTTTAAAGAGTCATAGTTTACATGGTTATCCAAAAAGAAATAAGAGGTTCCTACCCTTTTTCTTCTCAGTTTTCCTTTCCTAGAGGCAATCGCTTTCACCTCTTTTAGAAGATGATTGATTGTGGTATTTACCTCCTCGTCTGTAAATAACATGCTAGTATTGCTGCTAGATACACAGCATAGCTTGATGGTTAGGACATGGACTCTGAATTAAACTGTTTAGGTTTGATTCTTCCTGTGTTATTTACTAGTTTTATGTAATTTTGGGCTACTTAACCTCTCTATGCCTCAATTCCCTCTTTTTAAAAGATGGGAATAATAGTATCTACCTTATAGAGATGTAAGAATTAAACGAATTTGGAAAACCCTTAGAACTTTGTGTTACTCATGTGCTCTATATAAGTGTTTGTTAAATAAAGTGCTCTTTTTGTTCTTGGCTTTATTAACTTCCCAGATAGAAAATGAAGATTTAACTCTGTTTTCACCACCTACCCAGCTGGTCCCCCTTCTTCCCACTACCCTTTCCTCCCAGTAGTTATGGTTGTATCACTGTGGATTATTCTATATTCTTATAAGATTCATTTTTCTGTCCATTACAATGTCCTGTGGCTGCCTCCCTGCTCCCATCCCATCCTCAGCTATCTAGTTATGTAGAAATGTTAGTGGATTCTCCTTTCCTGTCAAGTTTTCATCTGTTAGCCTGTTTTCTCCAAATTGTGCAGCCCTTCCCCCATTTTTGTATGTTTGGGGCTCTACCTTTCTTGACAGAGCCTTTCCTCAGATATTTGATAATTTCTTGGTTGTCTGCACTTAAGTGTAAAGATAGAAATTTTCAGTGTGACTTTTTGACTGTTAGCTTTACCATAGGATGATCTGGCTGGAGATCATAGTTCCCCCCTCACCCCCCCCCCCCGCGCTTAGTTTTCTCTATATTTATCACTAATTCTGTTTTTCATCAGGTGTCTCTCAAGATGTTCCAACATCTGGTATTATTATCAGTTTTATCTTCCTGAGGAAGTCTCTCTCATATTCCTCTGACCTCTGTTCTGGACTGATTGCCTTCTAGGCTTGATACATAACTATGAGTATTATCCTAGGGTTCCCTTTGCTTTCTCTTTTGTTGGATCTGCATTTTCCAGTGACCAGTGTTGTCTTCATTCTTGGTGTACTTGGTGTTTTCAAATGCCATTATTTAGGTTACCCTGACACTTGTTTGATTCTTGGTTAGGGAAAGAATACCAGGTGGGGAAATTAAGTTCTCATTTTGCACTATTGCTTTCTAGCATATTGCTTTTGAGAAATCTGAAGCCATTCTGATTTTTCATATATGTGACTTGTATGTGTTTTGTTTCTTCTTCCCTTCCTTTTCTCTCTCCTTCCTTTCCCTCCCCTCATTTTTATTTTATTTTATTTTATTTTTGACTGGTAAGGGGATTGCAACCCTTGGCACAGTGTGGTCTGCACCATGTCCAGCCAGTGAGCGCACCGGCCATCCCTATATAGGATCTGAACCTGCGGCCTTGGCGCCACCAGCACCGCACTCTCCTGAGTGAGCCAC